GCTTACAAAGCGTTAACAAAGCGCTAAAAAAGCGCATATAATCGCTTTGTAAGCGCTGTGTGCTATTTGGGCTTTCTTTTTACACTCATGCATTATGAGATTGTTGACATTTGAGATTTGTATCATCTTTTGTGCAGAAAATTGTGAATTTTACGATGCAAAACGGGTATTTAAACGGATGGGATTGTCTAACATATAAAGAAGAACATTCTAAACATTGGACCTGATTTCGTTGGGCGCGTGCAAAACTGAGGTTTCGAGAACGGAATCGTATAGTTAGAATGTTGAAACCTCAGATCTTTGCACCGATTCGAATGCGACGTGAGAGGGTAAAAAGGACGAGACCCATGAGTGCCTTAACGGTAAAGGGCGAGAAGGGATGGGGTAACAGCAGGGTGTAAGGAGTCGGCGAGAGCCGACGGAACCGGCGAAGGAGAGCAGAGAGCAGCAGCGAGCGTCGATACGAGAGTGTCTATTTACGAGTTGTCCGGCGCCGTGATGTCCGGAGTAAAAATACACCGCGTAGAGTCCGTATGCCGTACGCGCGCGCGTGCACACACAACAGAACTCTTATAATTCTCCACCGCGCTAGCGCTTGCTAGCGCTCTCTCAGCTCTCTCGGGTCTCTCAATGCCCCTCCCTCCCCCTGCCGCCGCCCTCATCCCCTCCGCGGTGCTCCTCGCGGCCCGTAACAACCGCGGAGGGGCGGCGCGGCGCAATTTCGCTTCTCTCTTATTGGACAGCGGCCAACCGAGAGCGGCGAAAAGCGATAGAGAACCACGCACATAGAGCGCGCGATTAGGGTTGCGAAGCGCAATTGCGCTGTTATATAGGGTGTTTCGTTATTCCCTGTATCTTTTTAATTTCCCAGAGCAATGTACGAACGCGAGTATGCGTAATCACGGACTGACTAAATTCGGGATGTTAAATTCGATATGTTATCAACGGAACGTTATGTATGTTTTATATTGAAGCAGAGGAAAGAGAAGGGAGGAAAGAAATTTGCATTTATTTTATAAAATATGAAATATATTTTTATAAAAATGTAAAAATGGACTATGAAGGGAAAATGATTCGAACTGTAAGAGCCACATTTTGTTGGAGTAAATTTTTACTCCAACTTCGATCTTGTTTATCCTAAAAGTAATGCTAATTATAAACTGTACCGTCCAAACAGCTTCGATCTGATTAATAAATTGACCTGAACGAGCGCGTCGGGTCGGCGTGTTTACAAACGCGTGCCCGTTGCAAGGCAGGTACGCGTCACGCCAGGTACGTCTGTGGCCCGACGTGTAGATGCAGAAATATAATCGCGCAATGACGTCACACGCGCGTGCTGTGCAAAACAGACTTCCTCCCGTTCCTTTGCCGTTGTCCGAAGCCGAACTACGGCACGGCAAATCCATCGTTGTGGCGACGAGGAGTATTGTACCTACTTTATAAATAATATAAGTTATATCGTTTACGTTTACTTAATCTCAAAGTTCAGTACAATAAAAACACTGTTTATATTCTATTTAAATGATATTGAACGCGATGTATATATGTGACAAACAAAATTATGAAATAAAAAATACACAAAGACTTATTTGATTAGGACTCGAATGATAAGTTATCAAATAATAATCTGGAAGCTAAATAAGGTATTCATTCGGTTGCTCAAATCGAGGTTGCTCTAAAGTATCTGTCGATTTAAAGATACGCGATATATATACTGCATGAATGATCATTAGATAACAAACTTAATTTTTCCAATAACAATCAAGTTTATATAACAGAATATAATATTTATTTCTAATATGCACACATGTCCTATTTTTGCAATAAACTTTACACAAATAAAAACAATTATTCCTTTTAATCGCGGATAGTATTATTTGTCATTCAACATTCGAAAAACCTACCCAGCAAACGAGAGAATAGATTAAAATGGATTGAAATTTTTTTCTATCAGAATGCACACACACATTTTAAATAGCAAATACTTTTTTTGGATTTAATTAGATTCAATTGGATGTAATTGGATTGAAAAACTGTATTTCCTATTCAAAATTTGGAATTGAACAGTATTCACAATTGTGTGTTTGTGCACAGAAAAAGCTAATATTATTTTTAGATTGAAAGACATAGAGATATGCTCCATGCAAATTTTTATAATTGAATAAAAATGCATTCAGGATTGAAAAGTATTCATTTGGACATTTGTGAATCAATATTTGTGAAAATCTGAATCCATTTTAATTCATTTCAATTCATCTCTTTTTGCTGGGTAGTCAACTCTGCGAAACATGTAAAAGACTAATCTCCTTACTTTTAATTAATCCAGAGTGTGTACAACGTTCGCGAGAATCATTGCGAATATCATTCTCTACAACAAAAGATCGGCAAAATTAAAAGATCGGCTTTATTTCGGGCGTTAAAACCTACGCTCTAACCCACGTCGCCTCGTCGCTTCGCTTCGGTCTTTTGAATGGGAGTATTTTTAGCACGCGCCTACTATATGTGGATAACTGTACGCGCCGCACCGCGTATTCAGTTTCCGCGGATTGAGCTTGAGCAAGCATTAAAGTGTTCGATGTGACATCGAACGGAAGTCAAATTTCGCACAATCCTGATGGAGGCACAATTCGCTGAATAAATGTATTTTCACCTAGACCGCGATTGTTTTGCCTTACGTTAGTTTTATATTGTTAGTTTTCTAACAGACAAAAGTTATGTAAGAAAAATGTTGAACTCTTAGGATAAATTACGTATCCTAGATGACGCTTTTTTTGCCGTAGCAGAAGACTGTTATCATAATCATAAATTATACATGAGATATGTATTCAATATATTCAGTTGTTTCAGATGACGAAGCTTAATCTAATCTAATAACACATACAATCTTGTTTGTTTCGATGTTTTAGTCGATCTTCTTATAGATAATTTATTAGGCTAGTCTTTCAAAATGAAAAATTACAATATATTTGTTTATCGAACATTTATCTATTCGTTTGTTTACTCCTATTGCTTAATTGATGAAATATATCGAAGAGACTAAGCAAACTATGCTGTAGCGATTACTGAATTTAATTTGAACAATAAAATGTTTAAAGTCTTAAGTTCAAAATCTTAAATTTAATGTTTATTTAAAATATTAATAAAAAAAATTCTTTATTTAAATCTCTCTCTCACATTTGGAATGTAGATCCTTGTTGCTCTCACGAAAATCGGTTTGAAGGATCAAGAATCGTGATCTTTCTATAAATCTCCTTTAAAGTTTTTCAGACACTGTCCTTTTACGTATTATCCCGCTATCATCCACTTCTTTTTGCAGTCACCTAACACGCACTACGACATGGGAAGATCCGCGGAAAACGGCCGCTGCCGCAAGTGTGGCCGCAGTAGCAGCAGCAGTCGAGAGCAGCAAATCCAATGCGCTCGGTCCATTGCCCGATGGATGGGAACAGGCGCGTACAGCCGAGGGCGAGATCTATTTCATCAATCACCAGACTCGCACCACTTCCTGGTTCGATCCGCGAATCCGTAAGTTGAATTGAATTCTTACTTTTCCCAAATCTTACAGATTAAGCAACGTATAGACTACAATGAAGATGCTACCCCGAATCTAAATATTAATTAAGAATTAAAAAAGCTCTCGATACTCACTATTTAATCATCGTATCAGATTGGTTCAAATTTTTCCGCTTCAGCATTTTCCAAGTTTTTGGGAATTTTCTGACTTTCGTCTGGAGACTAGAATTTGTTCTCATCTAATTTATTTTAATAAATATGCCGAATTTGAATGTAATTCATTAAATTCTGAAAATTCTGATGTAAAACTTGAGAATTTCTGAGATAGAAATCGGAATGTAGTGGCTGTAAATATTATTAAAGTTTGACGAAAATTAAAATATGTCGCAAGATTTATATCACTTGGCGAGGAACCTTTCTCGATGATGTGATTCATTTTTATCAACATATTTTTATGTTATTGACTAATCTTTATTTCTTATCGTATATTCGTATAAGATATCATTTATTCAGCATCGCATCTCCAAAGAACTCCGGCGTCCGGCGCGATGCTGCCACAAAACTGGCAACTTCAACAACCCGCCGGCATCCAAAGCAACCAGAATCTACAGGCCTGCCAGAAGCAAAAGATTCGTCTTCAATCGTTGCAGCTGGAACGTGAACGTTTGAAACAGCGACAACAGGAAATTATGCGCCAGGTTGGCATTGTGAGTCGTCCTTTAATCTGGAGGCTTGATCGCGTGACATTTGTAATAACCATTTTCGATATTCACGAATCTTTTTTTGTTACAGCAACAAGAGATGATGCTTCGACAGAGCACCACGGACGCCGTCATGGATCCGTTTTTGTCAGGCATTAATGAGCAGCATGCACGCCAGGAGAGCGCCGATAGCGGCTTGGGACTCGGTTCTGCATATTCACTGCCTCAAGCCTCCGATGACTTCCTCAACATAGACGAAAACATGGATAGCACGAGTGGTAAGAGCGGCCCGTTCGAAATTCACAATTTTTTCGGAATATAAAGTCTTTTTACGCAGCATTTTCAAAATCCATCGCCATTACGCTTATAAGATTCTAGGCTAAAAAGAATGTTTATTCGCTTGCTTTGCTGTGCCATTAAGTCAATTTTCGATTTATGAATAATTGTTTTGCGCGATTGTTCCGATTACAGAAAGGCACTGTGCGTTGAATGATCTTACGAAACGATTATACCGAAGCCATAAATACATAAGTACGTATTTGCCACAATATTACATTTTGTTTAGTCATACTTTGAATTCGATGAATTCTTTTACAGACGGAGGTACGCCAATGGAGCCAGATCTCTCAACCTTGAGTGACAATATCGATTCGACAGATGATCTTCTGCCGTCACTTCAGGTAGGTCATTTTACATGGTAATGATTGTTGCAAGCCTGTTGTTAAAACCCTTTGAATGCGGTCTTTTGTATCGACAATTGTTATTGTTTCAGCTGAACGAGGAGTTCAGCACCGATATTTTGGACGACGTGCAGTCACTCATAAATCCTAACACGACCAAGCCGGAGAACGTGCTGACTTGGCTATAGGATTAGAAGTGATACTGCGGCGGATGTCGGCCTTTTTAAAAGGATAGGTATTCAGGTTCTCGAAGTGGAAACTTTATTCAGATTTAGAATTAACCTGCGGTCAATTAATTGCATCATTGAGCAATGTTGTTTTCAATATTTTCAATCAATGATGCAATTTTTATTTCTTTATAATTTTATAGGTTAGATTACGATTTATATTAGATTACGATAGGATTAAGTGTCTACTTCGAACCTAAACACCTATTTTTTTTATTTATTTCTTTCTATTTGGATTTTGGCAGGAATATATTACCACGTTAAAACAATCAGGATATTGTTGGAATATACTTTTTCATTTCAAGTTTCTCATAACGGAATGATAGAATCGAGAATTAAATTTTTGCTTAATACGTAATGATTTTATTATTAAGTCATTTCAGACGCTCTAAAACATCAAAATTTAAGGAACAAATTTAAATATAGATATTTATATGTGCATGTGATTATAAATATGCCGTAGTAAATATATAAGTCTTTTTTGTCTTTGGAAGAATAGCTTAATGAAAAAAATTTTCTATCAAACGAGAAAATTAATTATTACTAATTAGTATTAATTAGTACTAATCAGTATTAGTACCGCATATGTTATAAGAAATTTTTAATGAAAAATATTTTCTTGTGATGAAAACGATTAAATAAAAAATAAATTCACTATAATTTTGTAATACATCGTGGTAGGTACCGCTTCTCTTGTGAAGATAAAAATCCAAATAAAAAGATATTTATATTTCGTTATATGCCGTCTGAAGGAAGGAAAGAGAAAAGGAGTAAATAAAGGACTATATGCGAATTTGTTTTATCAGCAAGCATATTAAACGTAATTGTTAACACATCTAGTCCTCTATTTTCTTCTT